GTATATAAAAAACTTACCTATATCAACATCAGTCGTATATTGTATCGTGAATATCTAAATTACATCCATAATGATTAAAATTATATCGAAAACTATACTTTGTAGATTTATGTTTCAAAAATGTGTATACCAAAATAATAGTATTATACTATTATATGTTGACATATTATACAACTATTATTACAGTTATGATACATGAATACACCTTATCCAAGGGTTACTATAAAAATCAAAACTTATTTAGGGGATTTAGGTGATGCTTTATAAAATAAAATACCCATACCTGAAACTGCAATACAAATTAATTGAAATTATGCACCTGCGTATATTACTATTGGTTATAAATATTAATATTATCAATGATATTACGTTATATTTATAAAAATAATAACATTTCAGGAAATTGTACTACTGCTAACGACTGACTGAATATAGTTGTTACGGGTAAAATTAAAACATTAATTATAAATAATGTATTTTTATTTAAACTTTTATTTTGGGAGACGCAGTTGAATTGATTAATTTCAAAGAACCCAACTATTCATCCAATAGATCTTTATAAAATAGACTGGTTAAAAAGCATTTACCTACTGTACCTATACTCAAAGTTCAAGTACTCCCCTGAACTATTTGTACGAAAGTACAAGCATTATTTAGGTTTAGAATATAATTAAGTTATTAACCTTCACTGACAGAAACAATCACATACGTAAATTCTCATCACTTTTACTTTTGTTTAATACTGAAAATATTACTTCAACACTCTAACTGAACCATCAACCTATATGAACTAGTACCTAACTACTAATAACAACATTTAATAATATTGAACACTCGTTGGTGAAAATGTATGAATATTGAATAGTTTTGAATTTCGTGCCCGTGCATTTCACGAAGTAAAAAAAAATGTTCTAATATTAATTTTCAACTACTTTTTATATAGTTTATAATCTATCTGCTATCATAATTTACTTTATGGTTAATAGTAAAATATCAGATTATTCGTGTTGTTTTGTATAATGGGTCATTATTAGTTGTTAAAATCAATATTGTTTACATGTTGATTATTTGAATAAGAATTTAACATAAAACATAACTTTTCAGAAAAATTTAACATATTTATATTAAACCAGGAATTATTTAAACTGCATTATAGGTACTAACTCTATCTGGAAATTATAGATACCTACGTACTGAATGCGAAAGGCGTAGTTCATACTGGTAGGTATCGGTCGTGTGTGTTTTCAGTTACGTTTTGCGTGTAGTCACAGACTGACGTTTGATGATGAGTAATGATGAATATTTTAATCTAACTCTTTTACAAGTGATTTAAAATGAAAAATAAATAAACTTAAAAATAAAATCATAAATGTATTAAATTTTATTTATTACTGTTGTGTTAAAATATGTTTTAAAAAAAATATGGACAGTTCTATGGATACTACCACTACTACTACTACAACACCCCTGAAGTCAAAAAGATTTCCCACCATGTTCAAGAAAATGATGCTTTCAAGTTAGTTGATAAGTTTTTTAAATTATTATATTACATGTTTACTATGTTTGATGTGTATATAAAATACATTGTTTATAGTTTTTCTGTGTATTTAATGCAATCATGTAGAATAAATATTAAAATCAACATTTCATTAATAATTGTTATTCGTTTTCATTACTTGAAAACATAATTATGTAATTGCTTAGAACATAATATATAAATATATATATATAAAAATGTAATTATTAAATAATTATTTCCACTAAACTGGATGATCAAGTTCAGCAAATGAATAATAAACAGAATTATTGAACTTTAACTTTAAAACTAAAACTTTCAAGACTATAGGGAAATAAAGCATAATTTAATTTAGACAAACTGTGGTAATAATTAAAATTTGATACGTTTTTCTTATTAAACTAATAAATTCCAGTTGTATATTTTGTAATTAATAATTATTAGGTAATTTCAATGTTTGTACTAACCTTCATAGAGATTGTTGTAATAAAAGATTCGAAACTGTAATAATTGCATTTATAAATTAATTAATTACATATTTTAAGTTTATAGTGTGTAGGTATTTGTATATTATTTTTTTCTATTTTTTTTCTATAATTTTTATTAATTTGTATTATAACTCAATACACATAGGTATTATGTATTACTTACTATCATAATTAAATTATTGTAAATTGGAATATTATTTCGTAAATAAAATATTATTATTATTATTATAAGAAAAGTATAGGTACCTAAAGTATAAAAAAAATGATAAGATTGGAATTTTAATATTTTATATAAATTATCTATATCTATCTCAATACACTTGTAGAAAAGTTATCTTACATGCAAAACAAATACGCATGACACATAGATATAGTATAATCTTGTTTTAAGTAACTGTAGAATTATTATTAACATAACAGATTAATATTTATTTACTTAATAAAGTATCTATTATTTATTTGTATTTTAAATATTTTTTTAGGTTTAAGATTTTCGCACTTAACTAATTACGAACAAAAGTTTAGATAGTTGGCTAATACATTGATTTTTTATACAACATCAACAAACTAAAATATTATCCATGGTAACGGGTTATTTGTGTAGAAATTGGATACAAATTTACTTTTTAAAATTAAGATACACACGTATCGTAGGTAGTACCTACCCTAATAATTGTACACAACAATAAAAAAGAAACTTATCCTATTTTCCATAGTAATATTCGAAATGTACCTATAACTTTTTTTTTTCATGTATAACCACTACATGAGGGCCGTACTGTTTGCACATTCCTTGACCTTCATGTAGCATCGTTTATTTAAAAGCAAAATGTTTACATCTTTAGATTGGGCTCGCATGGGGGGATGGTACCCTTTCCTCAGCGAGTGCTGGTGTATAACTAAATTGAAATAGTTCACAATTCTATACTAAACAAAAAATTAACCTATCATTAATAAATATGAAATACCTACTGTAAAATGTTGATAGTAGGTATAATAATAAAATACACAATTGAAAACTAATTCGAATTATTGAATTATGAATAACGACATAACGAAGGTTACCTATAAAATATACCTACCTATTAATAAAAAAATGTTCCGATTATAACGTTGATTTTTTTAATTTAGATTTAATGAAACTATACTAAATTCTATATTATGTAGTGTAGATTTCAAAAAATACAATTTTTTTGTAATTATAAATTATATATAAATGTATATACTGTATACAAAGATACATAGTAATATAGTATAAGGTATATTGAATATTTATTATGAAAATAAAATGTATGTATTATAGTGCCCATTTGTTTAGGATTAAAGACCATTTCAAAAGATGCAACTTCAGCTGTTAAATCGTCCGTCCAAAAGAAGACATCGGCCAAAAAAAAGTCGAAAGCGGCAATGGAAGCTGAACAGGAAGTTGTGGGTATGTCAAGGCGGCCAGACACAGCCACGTTGGGCAAACCACTGTTGTTGGACAAGCGGACCGAGAGCGGAACGGAAGTACGGCCATCAACTACAAAACGTCCGGTTTGTCAACAATTTAACAGTAGAACATATAGGGTCAAAACCAAGGACCGAAAAAGCGTGCTAAGCTTGCCAGAAGTATCTAAACAGATACCGAAGAATCGGAAAAGTTATTTACCGATTAAAGTGAAGCCGATTGCTCCAACTCCACCAATTCGGCAACGTATCCAAAAGATGTCGTCTCCGTCAAACGACCAGGAAAACGTTAAACAGAATACTATTAGTGAGAGAATAGAAAAAAAACCCGAAGAATATCGTCCAGAAAAATGGATTCCAACGGCTGTTGGATCAGCAAGGAAGAAAAGGCTTGTTTTGTGCTATTTGTGCGGTAAAGAATTCGGTACTGCTTCGTTGCCATTTCACGAACCTCAGTGTCTCAAGGTACGCTATAATCATTATTCCACAAGGCAACGCCCCCCGAGTTATAGGTAAAAAGAATTTAAGAAAACTATTATGTTAACATTTTATTGGAAATAAAAAATGATTCGTATTGTAGGTAGAACTATTAGCACTACTTACTAGGTGTCGTGTTTAAATTTTTTTTTTTATTTATTTATTTTTTAGAAAACACGAATAAATTTACTTTAATTCAAATTATATTCAATTAAAATATTATAATCATAGGTACAGGGGAAAACGGAAAAACAATTTACGAAATTATTTATAAATTTAAAAACAAAAAAAGTTGACAGAAAAAGATATTAGATTACAAAAAGAACAAAATAAAAATAATATATTCGATTTATCACGCATTTCTATTTTTATTTGGTACACTATATAATTATTTATTGTCCTTGAACTTGAAATAACGGATCCTTTATTATTATATTTTGTTTGATTAGTATTTTTTATTAATGTTTGCATTTCAAAATATTTTAAACAAACATTGATAAATTATACTTCGTGACGATGGTCATATACAAACATCAAGTATGGTAAATAATAATAGGTATACGCCGTTGTTATATTATAGAAGATAATATGATATTATATATTTATATACTAAATAGGTTCTATTATAGTATTATTACACTATTTACTACTTATTACTTTTATTAACAAAGAATATTACATTATTTTTTCAAACAATGAATGTAGTAGGAATAAGTGGGTTATTTATGATTTTCATAATAAATTTAATAATTATTATATTCGGTCATTTTAAAATTGTAACGCCAGATTTCTAAGTGATTAGTTTAATTTAAATATTAACGCATGTTTTTGACGAAGTATTAAATAAAAAAATTTGTGAAAATATAACTGAAAACCACCGGATATACCTCGAATGTCGGAATGTATGTTTAGTTGAATATAGGTTAAACGTGGGAAGTGTACCCACGGTGTTTAATAAAAAACCATTAATTTGTACAGTTTTCTTTCGTTTTTAACGTATCTATACATGAAAGTTGAATCCTAGTTTACAAGTTTATTTTTATTTTTACGTACTTCTATGTTTAGTATAGTTTTTATTGTACGCAGTTTACACCGTCAAAACACAATGCAACCAATGTGAGAGCAAAATAATAATGGGTGTGCACTGTGCATCTATATATCTGCTTGCCCAGGAAGTCCGTAATATGTCTATAATATGGTTTTTTGGAACGCTACTCCCATTGTTTAAAGAGGATGTTATACATAACGAGTAGTTTTTGCAATAAGCCACCGGTATCAATACAATTATAATATCAAACTCAATTAATCGGTCTTAATAACACTCTTACTTGCGTAATTCAAGTTGACGAAATAGTCTTAATACTCAATGATGGCTCAAACAGTCACTACTATTTCTAAAAATTATTTAACAATTTAAATGTTGTACACTTGTACTCAATAATATATTTAATAATCCAGGCAGGTAAATTTATAGATAATTAGGTTTATAAAAAAAAATTTATTATTAACAAAAACAAAATGTGATTAAGTTAATTAATTAACTATTATTAAAATATATTGTATACCTACATTTTAAAGTAGTATGGTATATCATTATTTTTAAAATGTATTATGATTATTTTATTGATTGAGTAACACTATTATACACTATGTATGGAATAGGTACAGTGTAGAAAAACTGCTCGTTTCATTAAGTATACCATACTAGGTATAACATTAACATCACAGTCTTGTACTGAATACTAAGTCTATGTCCTATGATACACGTACATATATCACTTTTTAACAAATTTAAAATATAATACTTACTTATAATTATATACTTAAAATCTAAATAAAAACAATAAATCTGATCATAGGTACTCCAAATTGTACTCGATATTTTTATTGTAAGTCAATTGATTAGGTATTACTATTAATAAGGCGTCAGTGATATAAACACAGATTATATGTTTTTCACTATATAATATATTATATTGCCCATTGGAAAGACTTTCAAGGGCATATACATATTATAAGGGACAATTGGGATATATGTAGGTATTATGTATTTTGTATATAATATATGTAATGTAATATGATATAATAAAAAAAAATATATATATAATATATATTGTGGGGAGAAGTGTTGGCGTGTAGCAGTAATAAAAGAATCAGTTGAGTGATTTTCAAACGAAACCCAGTCACTATACAGACCTTGGATATTGGAAACCTCAAAACACTCCATACTGACCACAACAATACCTATTTACGATGTAATTATAATATATTATATCGGTTTTAAATTAATTATACTGAAATTCAAATAGTTGAAGACTTGAAGTACCATCAACTCCCACTAACCTGTTCACCCATGACCCGTATATAAATATTGTTCATCGCTGTACTTACTGACTTATTAATTGTCAATACAGTGTAATTCAATTAGTAAAAATGTTTTCACTATATAAGTTTATAAAGTTGATGAAAAGTTAAGAACTCAAGACGTCTGACGTATGCATATAAATTTAAATTTAAAAATCAGGCCTATCACAATGGCCAAGGTCTTGTCAAGGTCCAATAGACATACGAACAATTATTTTTAGATGATCCGTTGACCACGTTTGCTGACATTTTTTAAGGTTTTTGATAGTGTTTCCTTTAGATAAACTATTCAATAAAATCAAAAAAAATACCTCTTCAAATAATCAAGCACACACCCGATATTGTGATTTCCCAACATCCAATCTTTAATAATTGTTCTACTTTTTGAATTTTTAGCTTTTCTTCCCTATATTATATTCAAAAAAAGATAATAATAAAAAAAAAAATAACTGTAAAATCAAATATCAATACATAATATAAATAATTATAATATAAAACCTAACCAAACAATGCAATTTAATTTTCCCTATTATGATATTCTATTATTACACATATTATTTTTTTATGGTATACTATGTACCAATAAGTGGCTATTTTTCAGACGTATACTATTGATTTTAAATTGACATTGAAACTATGAAACATAATATTGTCGATGCCTCAGTTCAGAACTTCAACAACTCGACTACTCGAGTTATAACAAATCCGAGTTATGTACTTATGTACACCACTCTTATATCAATTTCAGTTCAAGAACGCAATAAAATATAGTTAAATTATTGAACACATTTTCAATATTATAATTTACATTATGTTACATAGAGAAACAATATAGAATACACATTATATCCCAATAAACCAATTTATTGAGTTGTTGCAGTTTTGAACTGGGGTGTCGATATACTCTATAGGTACTAGATTATTAGAGTCTATAGTCTATATATAGTCAAATATGTCCTGACTGACTGACTAATCAACGTATGCAGAGTATAAACTATGATAGCTGAAGACTTGACATTTTCATAGTATATCATACGTAACACCATGTAGAGGTACACTAAGACAAGATTTTCAAAAATTTGAATTTTCAAAAGGTCCCTTCACACAAGTATTTTATATTTTATTTATATATATTTCGAGATTCACGATGGAGATTGAAATGTTTTTGTTTATAAATGGTTGTCATTGGTTTCAGATTATAATACAGTAATAGACAATACTATAAATAAGCATCATTTTTTGTATATAAATTGTTGCCATTGCAATGTAATAACCATGGTATAATAACAAAATAACCATGGTTACACGGGCAGATGAGGTAAAAACATGTATCAAATCGTCGCGTTTACATGGCCTCGATTAAAGGAACTGCAGTGAAACCTCCCTTAACGAATACCTCTAAATAGAGGACGTTTTTGGGAACACAAAATTTTAGTCTACAATTTTAAATCCAAATGTATGTTTGCATATCTTATATACTCAAAAACTTCGCTAATGTTTTTTACGAAAATCTCAGACTCTCGGAGAATATTCTTAAAAATATAAGAAAAGTTTAGATAGTAGTTTGAATCACGTCGGTAAATATAACAACTGTTAAATATAGTAAATGACTTGCAGTTGCCCATCTAGGTCGAATTATTTCACAAAGCGAGGTACACCGACTCTGATTTGCCCGTGATTTGAGGTACACTATTATTATTATTTATTTATTATAAACTGAGATAGTGAGGTACACCTTACACCTATATATAGCACTAGCTGTATTTTGTATTTGTACATTTTCCCGGGCAAAGATGGGTTGAATAGCTATTTACTGTAAAAGATAAAAATTCTTAAATTCGATAATGGCTATGTGAATTTTTTTTAACAGAAATGGATCCAAGAAAATTCCCGACTACCCGAACATTTACAAAGAACTATGCCAAAGAAACCGGAAAATCAAATTGTTTCTGTTGATGATTGGAATAAGTTGGCATGGGAAGCCACTCAGGTATGCCTAATATATTATATACAAACATTCAATTTCTAGCGATATCATTAGCTTAAAAATTCAATACTTGGAGTTGAAGTTCGATGAACTGAAAACCGACTGTGCTACGAAAGCGAGTGGGCAGAAGTCATGACTCATGATGCAGTTAATTCATTTATGGTATAGCCAACTATTATAACTGGTTATACATTTTATTTGTACGCCCAAACATTGGTGTACAATGTACATAGTACGAAGGTGTACATTTGGTATTCTTTCGTGAATATATAGTCAAACAATGACAATTTTTAATTCAAATGGTTGGAAAATGATGAGGCTTTTCTTATTTCTACATAGATAAATTGATGACATTTCATGTTATTATTATATATAGGTACTAGCTAATTATAAAAAAGTAGGTACTGCCCGGACAATAATTGAATAATGCATGTAATAATAAATTGCAGTCGAATTTGGTGCCATGCGATTTTTGCCAACGGAAGTTCCTAGCAAACAGACTTGAAGCCCACTCAAGAGTTTGTATTGAATCCAAGAAAAAAACGGTAGCCGTAAGTGGATAATAATTTGATTATATTCATTAAAAATGTTATTGGGTGGGTATGCTTTAAATTTGAAAACTATTACACAATATATAAACAATCCAACGAGTGATGACTGATGAATACATTTAATTTACATTTAAAATTTTAACAATAAATAAACAATTATATTTAGATATTCAGTATCTTGTCTCTTGGTTACCATAGAAGCTGTATTGTACTATTTATGCCTATACTCGTAAGTTGTATATTCTGTAAATTGTAATAGTGTAACCATACATAGAATATTGAGCTTAAAATAAACTAATGTTTGGGCATTGATAAAGGTAAATTTATATCTGCTAAAATTTGAAATTGCTCTTTCGGTTTTGTAATAAAAATTCGTTTTTTTTCTGCTGACTTCAATTATACAATTAACATAAAATATTTATGAGGAGACTAAGTATTGCAAATAATTTTTCTTAATCTCCGTCTAGGTCACTTACGTCATTTCACAAAATGTATGCAGATTTAATGTACACACATCCAGAGCTAGTATATTGTAGGTATATATCTACACACAAGTAAATTGTATACTTATTGCAAGTGACAAATAAAATATGTTCAATAAATTAAGATTGTTTTACGGATTTTGTATAATTTAATACGTCGACTCACTATATAGGTAAGTGTAAATGACAAAATATACAATATTATATTATACCCAGCCACCCAGGTAGATTATTTTAAAGGTAAACACTTATTCTCTCTTAAAGTATTAACTTTTTAGAAATATTATTTTTACAGACACAGGTGAAAGGGACTAGGATACGCTCATCTAAACATAAATAATAGGTTCCTCTATTATATTTACATATATATGTTTTAATAAATTATAAATTTATAAATTTAAATATTATATGTACGAAAATAGTGATGGTAGATACCGCGTGGACGTAGTACATAGGTACAACATATAGACGTTGGTATTACATTAGACTATATTTGTTACAAGTTATATTAACTGTAGTTATATATATATTCCAATTACAGTATTGAAGTACCTACCTATTGACTACATTGTACTAGTTTTGAAGTAGGTACCTAACATGAAATATTTTGAGTAGGTACCTACCCAATGAGTGACCATGAAATCTGACCTGACAAAAATACTGGTATTATAATATATATTATATACATAAAGAAAACAATGTATGTAAATACAATAGGTTTTTAATTTTTCCCTCTGTCCAGAATCTCTTACAAAAAGTTGTAACAAATTTATAATTAGGTATGTAGGTAATATGATATCATGTGATTGGCAATATTATATTATTTTAAATCCGTAAAAAGAATCCGTTAAATGTAAGGTTTTGTAATATTAACTGAACATTTAAATGTACGTCTTCGACACATTTTGAGCTAGTCAGTCAGATAATATACACACTATACACGAAATACAAATTGCACACTGCAAGACTTGGCCATACTAGGATTTAAATTATAGAAAATGACCGACCGTTTTCACAATACAAAATATAGTACCACCCGTGAGAGCACTATAACGGCATTATTTTGCATGCCAATAAAAATATATACCTAAAAGTGTCAAATTCAAGTACCTAAAGGTACAAAGAATATAATATAACTAATATACTATATTATATCCGTACAGCATAATATTCCAGTTATCATTAATCATCGCTACACGTATTTTATTATAGGTAGTATTAAGTAGATACCTATACAGTCTATACACATTTAAGGCGTCGTGACGTCGTAGTTGGGTATTAGATAGATACCCTGTACCCATACACAAGGATACTTATAAACACAACGCGATACACATTATAGTATGAGTATAATACTAAAAGTCTATAACATAACGAATTCGTGTATCGATCGAATTCCATTATATGTAAACAACGACGGTATCAAAAGTAGAAGAAGAAAAGTTACGAAAATATTATTATAGGTAGGTGCATGTAGGTGCATATGTTATATTAAATTGCGTCCGCTGAAATGTCAACGCAGCGAGGTGCATCCGGGACAACGATCGTATATTCGCAAATATAAAATAAATAATAATAATATATTATATTGTGCAGGTGGTACCGTTTCGTCCGGTTAGTTATAAATATTTCATATTTATATACGTCATAAATAATATTATATTTGGTTTTCGACAGGCGCCAAAGTTACCAGCTAAATCAGCCGTTGTCATGGACAAACCTAAAAAGAAACCGGCGCCTTGTTACGTGTGCGGTCGCCTGTTCGGGACCGCGTCTATAGGGATTCACGAACCTCAGTGTCTGATCAAGTGGACCCGAGAAAACGATAACTTAGCACCACATCTCCGACGACCTGTGCCCACCAAACCGGAACTGATCATCGACGAAGGTAATGTGATGCCTCCATTGTGTGTCGTGTGACGTATAAATGTATAGAGTACCTACCGGGCAGGGCCGGCGGCGTTACAAATAGCTTGAAAATTATAAAAATAATATTTTGTTGAATTATACTTACATAAATATTATAATACTAGCTGATCCCTTGCACTCCCGTTAAATATACCAACTCTATATGACTCAAACTTTGTTCAATTCGTTATTTAATATTCGGTGTATGGTGTTCAAATTTATCTTAACTTTTCTGTTGCCCGAAATAAAAATTTTGATTCACAGCAGTATATTATCAGGTAAGCAATCTACCTGAGGTAGATCGTGCTGTTTGTACGTAACTTTATGATTTAACTCTAAAGTATCAAACTTATACCAGTATGTTTACTGAACTAGTGGCGTATTTAGGAATTTGTCATGGGGAGGGTCCAGATAATTTTCAGAAACACAGAGCCACGGGGGACGAAGCCCCACACCACCATTTACTCTTTATTAAATAAATATACTATATTATAAGACGATATAAAATTGTCAAGTTTTTAATTATTAAATAATAATATGTACAAAACAAATTTTAAAAAAAAACGGCTAAGTGGATGTCACTCTGCTGCTGTACAGTAGGTTACAAGTGGGTCAATATATAATGGATTGTATTAAACTTGAACTCAATGATATAATCTATAAATCATTGTATAAGAAAAACGATTCTGAGCGAAGACGGTTTATCAGTCTGGATATTTTATATTGTTATTATTTATTATAGCCTGTAAGTTGAATTAATAATGAAATACTTTTACTTTTTTATTTTTTTCTATGGTGATAGACAAAGTGTTAGAAATCAAAATCCCATTTTTAGCGGTTTTTCGTAATTTTTTGGTGGTTTTTACAGTGGCATTAAATAACTATTGAAAAAATCGAAAAATGACCTCTCTAAAGTACTATCTTGATCCAATTTTCTAAAAGATAAGTTACTATATATCTATACATGTTGAAATCGAAGCACTCCTTCTGGAAGAAATTTTGTATACAGGAAAAAAAAATAAACACCATTGTAGAACCAATAGATCCCTCAGAATCGAATAAATAGTTATATGTTATAACTTTTATACAAATATTTCCTTAATTACATTAGGTACCTACTTCATTCAAAGTTGATCTTAGATAGCTTTTCAACCTTAAAAAGGTTGAAAAATATCTCTCTGGAGTGGTCGTAGATACTGGCAATGTACAAAACTACAAAACATTTTGAATTAAAAAATGAATTGGTATTTTTCAAACCATGTTCGGTACCCAACTGATAAAAATAATCACGATATTTAAAAAAATTTTGATTTAACTATAGCTTCGAAAATTTTTTATAAAATCCGTAAAATCGTATGATAAAATTTGTTTTTTAATCATGTAAAAACTGCACAACATTTAACATGTACGAGACACGAGTCAATGGGGGGGGGGGTGTCCGGACCCCATGGACCCCCCTTAAATACGCCACTGACTGAACTCCTCCTAAATGGTTGGACTAATTGTGAATGCCGAGTCTGTCGACCAATATTTGAATACGTGAATGAATACGTGGCATCGTGATTATTGACTGTTGTATGTACGTAACTTATATGTGAGTATAATACGTTCAATATTTGCGTAATTTATTGTGTTACATATTATAATATCAAAACACAGCGTACAAAAAATTTAAATGCATTGAATGAATACACTGATTTTACTGGAACCAATAATTATTTATTATAATAGTTTTAAAACCCATGGCAACCATTTATAAACAAAGATTTCCACCGTAAATCTCTAAATCCCTGTTTGAGCACATCCCCTGGTTGGACCTAAGGGGATGATTTATAGCCTATGTGTTATTCTGATGTATAAGCTATATTATTGTAAAGTTTCATTAAAATCCATTCAGTAGTTTTTACGTTAAAGAGTAACAAAGAAACAAACATTCGCGTTTATAATATTAGTAGGATTATCATGATACTCATTTATGAAATGTTTTAAAACTGACTAAACTAATGTTGCACTGTCACTATCTATATATTATAATTTATAGGTATACCTAGCGTCCTAGCTATTGATTGAACGTAACTTTTGGACGAAGTTTACTAACCGAAAAAGTGTCTATAGACAAAAGAATTAAAAAATTAAAATAAACATCTTCGTAAACCCAATAAATCTGATTCTTCGCTTCACTAAGAATCTAAAAATAAATGGAGATTTAAATGTGGCTTTGTAAAAAAATGAATTTTTATACAAAATTGATATTGTTTTTAAGATGTAACTTGCAATTTTCACTAACATTTTATATCAGCATTTTCTGTACATGATAACATTTACAATATATTTCGACACTTCTTAAGCTATTTAAGTATAGGCATTTCAGTTTTTCATTTTTTTTTTTTTTTTGGTTTTAAATGTCGATAAAATGTTCCACTTGAACAAAAATCTTGAAAAATTACTACAAGGTGCTTCGTAATTTGCTACTTTAGTAATTTAAAAATATTAAACAATATTATAATAATATTAATACTTCGTATAATTTTTATTTATTAACATTTTAAGTTAAACGCTGACAAAACTCATCAAAATCACGAAAATTGGCCAATCATTTTGTAATTAAACATTTATAAAACGTTCAATTTTTATAGCTAAGGAGTAGGTATCTAAGGATTGATAATTTTAAGCAAGGTTCCTCACTTCCTCATAAATAGTACAAACTGTAACCAACTGCAAATCTATAAAATACATGGGTAATAAATTTTTTTTGTTATAGATAGGTAGTTTAAGTTAAATTTTGGATGAAATTAGATATGTAAACGAAGAATAGAGATTTTAGTCAATATAGTTATTTTTTTGCAATTTAAAAATATTATTCGAGGGTCACTTGAATCTTTTAAAGTAGGTATATGTATATTATTATAATTTAAACACACAAGTGGTGCATTTTAAAAGACAAATGTTGACGACAAAAATGAATTCAGCCTATACTTTACCTATTACTTATAGTATAATAAATTGCTTTACAGCTTTACTAGAAATATCATAAAATAATAAAATATGCTCAGTAACATGGCTGCTCAGTCTGCTGGCTAACAGACCGTCTTTGCTGAGAATCGATTTTCGTATGGAATGATATATTGATATATCATTGAATTCAAGTTTAACACATATGACATAGCCACATATTATAGGTACCTACATTACAATTTACAGGGATAGGTACATACTTAATCCTCAAAGACGAGGTACAGCAACTTTACTGTTGAACTGTACAGCATATCGATTAGATATAGGTTGGAAGCCCGTACAAAGGTACCTACCACTTACCAGGTCTATGGCATTCGCATAACTCTGTTGGCCCATGCAATAACCAAAATGCTGTTAGAATATCAAATAATTCTGTAAATATCAATAAACCGTAATTGGTTTAAATATTTAGGTATATTTTAAGATATACCTAAATAATAAATAGGTTATTATTAAAAAATTACAGAGGAAAATGAATATTTGTAGGTTCCTATAATATTGCATTATAGGTACCTATGTCAAAAAGCGTATAACCTACCTTGTACTCACTTATCATATTATTGATTATTCAACAATATTTGAAAATAATAATTACCTACGTTGTTACGGTACGTTTTAGTAACGGGCAAGGTGGATCAACAGGCTACCAGAGAAGAACACTGGAAATCGTACTTGTCACAGCTCGTTCCATGCGACCGGTGCAAACGGACATTCGACCCGGACAGGTTGGAAGTGCACCAGAGAAGTTGTAAAGGAGTGACAAAATAAATGAAAAAAATAATATTATTCACTGCTGTCGTAATTCTCGTTAGAAACGATTTTATTTAATTAAAAAAGTACCAATACTTATCAGTTATCACTTACCTATGTTAGTTATTTGATATAGTATGAACTTAAGAGTATGTTTCATCCGCATTTATTGTCTCCGTCTTACACATTTACGGTATAGCAAAAACTGTTTTGAGCGGGGAAAGTAACTGGTCATAACTAAGAAACGAAATTTTCACCACATAAAAAGGAGAACTTTGGCTGTGGAATATCGTCTTTAGTTTTTCGTTATCGGAACTTCAAAAAAAGTTATTTAAGAATAAAAAACACAAATAATAATGAGTTTTGAAACAATAAGATCTTTTTTCGTATAAATGATATCAAAAAAATAAAAACGATATTGCACTGCCAGAGTTCTCCTTTATATGTGGTGAAAATTTCGTTTCTTAGTTATAACTGTAACCTACTTGGTACTTTCCCTCGCAAAACAGTTTTTGCTATGCCGTACGTGTGTAAGACGGAAACAACAAATGCGGATGGAACGTCCTGTTAACATAAAACAGTTATATATGTACAGGTAGTAAAGGTACTTAACATTAATCACGTTATCTATACGCAGCGGAGTACCTATTTTCGAAAATGTTTAGGAGGGTGTCCAACATTTTGAGGAATTGACTATACATGGTTCAGTAGTTGTCAGGATGAGATCAATATTCAGTGACCGTTCATCAATTTTAGTCAATATAAAATATAAATAGCTTCTGATCACATATTTAGTATAATATACTTAATAATTATCGTTTAACTGTAGTCGGCCATACTTAGGTACCTAACACAAAATAATACTTTAAATAATTGCAAAACTATTCTTAATTTAACCGTTCATATTGTTTCAAAATTAGGTAGGTACATAAATATAATTGAAAAATTAGGTAATATCAATTGACTCACTTAAAATTATATCCATAACATCGAGGAAGTAATCCACGTATAAATGTATAGGGAGAATATTACACAGTATGGATACTGTGTATAGCATTACCTTCTCCATATCATTTGTGATTTTAAGTTGAGGATTCGTTTACTTCGAATAACTTGCTTACTCGAATATTTTACCAGTTCGTAAATTTTTTTTTAATATTTAGTATTTACCATGTATAATATGTACCTATTGTAATAAACTGAAGAGTATATACTATGTATATAAGTTATTGTAATAATAAAATTGAATAGTTTTACCTAAATTAACATATTTTTTTATTTAACTGTAATAATATTCAACATTTCTCCTCAAACTACTACCAATAACACATCAACGGAAGTTTTAAGTTTTAATGCCCCAAAAAACGTTTTTAAACAAAACAATCTGGCATAAGACTTTAAAAAACATTTATATAATTTATGTTTTGGTAAACCAGACCTATAACTTAATGGACAGCATATAGAGAGATAATTGAGAAAAGAGAGTTCTTGGACTTTACAGCGTGCCAAAACATATTTTTTCTCTCTCAGTAATAATGTCGTCCGGATTAACCAAAGGCAATTGTGGGAAGCGCTGTCCAATAGTTTATAGGTCTTTGTGGTAAACAATCTAATTTAAAAAAAATTAGGCGTCTAAGATATCAGTTTCAACTTGTAACTTACTATTCAATTTGATTATTTTTTCGAAAATCTATTAGTAAAGCATAAATGTGAGTAGGATATTATATGAACATGAGACTTGTTAATAAAAAATAGAAATTACCAATAAATACCCAGTAGTCAATATGATGTTAATTTTTTTTACACAGGCTACAACAGTTTTAATCAATTTGTTTATTGCCATGGAAACACAAATCAACAAGAAAATAAATAAATAACATTTTTCCAAAATCTAAGTTGCTACCAGGCAATAGGTATTTCCACTGCACTAAAAAAATATACAGTATAGTTGAAAACATATCAGATTCCCCAATTTATAATGTAATTTTTTTTCTTTTGACGATTAACAGGGATATTGTTGAAGTCAAGTATCAGTGGGTATGCAAGCAGTGGCGTATTTACGATTTTGGCGCCCTAGGTACACACTTTTTAGAGCCCCTTTTTTTCTGTTTCCTTTTATTTATTTTCACAAAAAACTTTTAAGCCCCCTCTAATTTACAATTTAATTTTTCTCTCAGTTAATAGTGCAGGGCTTGAAACCGGTATAAACTGTTATAAAACCGAAACCGAGAACAAAATTAAAACCGAAACCGAAAAAAATTGGGAACCGGTATTAAATTCAATACAGACTCGAAAAAAATTGGATAGGTACCTGTATTATAATTAAAAAACGAAAATATAATTTAAAAAACGGTTTTTTTTTTTTGAAAACCTTTGTGTCTTGACACTTTTGAAAGTTTACTTTACACAGCAGGCGATCGGAAGCTCGATCCAGCTATTCAAAAAAATTAATAAACTAAGAATGAAAGTAAATAGTCCAGGTCTTGAAACCGATTTTAGAAACCGGTATAAACCGTTTAAAGACTGAAATTAAAAACAAAATCGGAAAAAATTAGAAATCAGTATTAAATCCAAAACCGATAAAAATTGGAAACCAGTGTACAAATCGAAACCAAAATAGAATTTTTTTCAATCGGTTTCAAGCCATGTAAAAGTGATAATTGATAACCCAAAATGTATATTTTCCCCTTATTGCATTTATGCTTCCACTAATTTAGAGAACCCTTTTACTTTACCATTAGACATTAACACTCATTTATTCCTAATAAAAAAATGAAACCTTTATAATTGAATAAACAAATTATAATTTAGATTTTAGCCTTTCTTTACTACAATTTAATAAAATACATTATATGTATATTATATAGAAATGTAAAAGATATAAGAAAGATACAGGTATCACTGATCACTAACATTATTCCTCAAGAAATCCAATAAAATAAAAAAATAATTTTGTTATAACCTCTAGAAACGGCGCCCCTTTGAGGACTCAGAATTTGGCGACAGGGGGCAATTGGCCCCGGTCGCCCCCCCTAAATACGCCCCTGTATGCAAGGCAGGTATTACAAGTTCAAAGATCAAGCATTAAATATGATCTGAGGAAGCAACGTATTGATTAGAAAATATATCACCTCTACTTGTATAAGAAATTAGAAATTCAGCAGCATTCCACAATTGGATTGGCTTTAGAAGGGTTTTTGCATAGAGCAAAGGAAATTAACAGTGAATATGGAAACTTTTTTTTTGGGGAGGGGGGGCTGATCAGTTACAAAAAAAAAAGAACAACTGCAAAATAAGTGATTAAAAAAACTATATTTAAAATTTTAAAACAATACATTATTATTTTAATCATATTGTTAATTTTAGTCGTCTAGCTTTTTCACTGTTCGAAAATTTATCTAGTATCATATCATCAGTAATATCTACATGTCTATGAATTGATAACAGAGCTAGTCCTACAAGCCTTGATTCAGATATTGTGTTTCGAAGATAATTTTTCAATCTCCTTAATGTTGAAAAACTTCTCTCTGCAGTTGCTGTTGAAACAGGAAGTATTGATAGTATCTTAAGAAGCTCATACACAGGGGCGTACTCAGGAATTTTCAATGAGGGGGTTGAACATTTTGTTTTTATCACGGAGACTTTGTCACCTCCTTTTTAAATATATTAAATATAAACATGGTAATGTACTCTACAGAAAATAAATTTCAAAAATGAAAAATGTTTATTTAAAGAACAAAATTCCGATTCCGATTGATGGACGTGTTCATGTTTTCTTTTAAGATTATTGTAGGGTTCAATGTACTTAGAACTTCCAGGCACACTAGTAAAAAATTTTATTTTATTTTTATTTTTTGACTTTAAGCGTTTATGGAAAAAGAATAAATACTGAAATTTTAATACTATCATAAATATTTTTCAAAAGTATATAAAATTACTGTACATTTTAATAATTTATCTGTGTGAAATAGTGCATGTAATTTTAGTATATACCTAATTTAGAAAAAACAATTAATAATTTTGATTAAGGGGGCCTTGACAGTTTTACATTAAATTTAGGGAGCCTCATGACAAAAAAAATTGAGAAGTACTGTACTAGATTATAGTGTAAAATATCTAAATATAATAAATATAACTAGCTGTCCCGGTAATAGATCATGTTTTTAATGTTGCATTTCAATTTGAAAACTACATATACATATTTCACTGTTTATTTTTCTAACATAATTTATATTTATTGAAGAAATATATAAACGGATTTTTGACAAAGGTTGGTTGCTCAATACACAGTCAAATATTAACCAAATATATCATAACGCATTATGTAAAAACAAGAATGATATTCACTTACAAAAGAAAAAAATTAGCAAGGTGCTAAAAACAAGAAAACACCAAAAAAACTAAACAATTTTTCAAAATTAGTTTGAAGTTTATAAGATAACTATTATTGAATAATATGTATTATAATATAAATAATATACCTAATCATAAAATAAAATATGCAAAATATTTTAAACATGTTTTTAGAGTTTTTTATGAACACTAGAAAATAATACTCCACTCTGACTAGTACTCTACCAGACTACTATTAGAATTAGGAGTAGAATCATAATAGTTTTAATTTAATTTAAAGATTTTAAGAAGGATGCAAATATCCAAAGAAGTGACTAAATTATACATCATATTTTTTCTAATTGATGTCTACTCGATAAAAATATTGCCAATGAATAAAATGCAAATGTAATGTATAATTACAGGCTCCAAATTTATTATGCCAACTCAATTAAAAAAAAAACTTTTTATGATTCAATGTTTTTGTAAATACTGACTTCAATTTTAAAAAATATTAGCATTTTAATTCTGAACAAATACAAGTGTTACACTTAAGTTATGTTTACACGATGATAGTAAAGTTGCTCTCGCGATAGTCGTTGTTATTTTAAGAATGATAACAATGTGAATATTCAATATAATTGATAATATCGATACTGACAGACATGACGTTATACACCTTTTGT